GCCGCGTGGGACGGGCCGAGCGCCGGCTACCAGGAGCTGCAGGCGGGCGGCACCCAGGTGGCCGCGTCGCCGAGGCTGCCGGCGGGGAGCGCGCCGGGCCGCACGGGCGCCGAGGACTCGGGTACCGTCCCCCGCATCCCCGTCCCCCCCCGCCCCGCTCCCCGCGCGCCGCCCTAACAGGCGCCTCTGCCCGCAGGCTGCGGCGAGCTCGTGTGGGTGGGGGAGCCCGCCGTGTTCGGGCAGGCCGACTCCATCGCCGGCAAGTACGGCGTGTGGATGCGCGACCCGCAGCCCGTGGCGCCCTTCACGCGGGCCACCACGTGGCGCGTGGACACGGTGGGCACCGAGGTGCGCCAGCTCTTCCAGTACGACGAYGCCGAGCAGTTCGCCAAGGGCTACCCGGCCAAGGTGCACATCCTGCCGCGCGCCATGGAGAGCACCGGCGCCGTGGTCTTCCGCGGCGGCCTCTACTTCCAGCAGCGGCGCTCCCGCCGCCTGGCCAAGTAYGACCTGCAGGCAGAGGCCATCGTGGCCGAGAGGGAGCTCCCCGGCGCCGGCTACCACGGGCAGTACCCCTACTCCTGGGGCGGCTACACCGACATCGACCTGGCCGTGGATGAGTCGGGGCTCTGGGTCATCTACAGCACCGAGAAGGCCAAGGGGGCCATCGTGGTGTCCAAGCTGGACCCGGACACGCTGGAGGTGCAGCGCACGTGGGAGACCAACATCCGCAAGCAGTCGGTGGCCAACGCCTTCATCATCTGCGGCGTCCTCTACACCATCAGCAGCTACACGGCCCCCAACGCCACAGTCAACTTCGCCTACGACACGGCCACGGGCACCAGCCGCCTCCTGAGCGTCCCCTTCCAGAACCGCTTCCAGTACGTGAGCATGGTGGACTACAACCCCGCGGAGCGGCAGCTCTTCGCCTGGGACAGCTTCCGCATGGTGGCCTATCCCATCCGGCTGGCGCAGGCCTGAGGGCCGCGCGCGCCCGGGGGGCACCGAGCCCGYGCAGCCCGGCCCCCCCAGGCCACCCTGGCCCCCCCAGCTCCCGCTTGGAGCCGGCGTGCACCGAGGAGCTGCTCCAGCGCCTCTCCCGGGGCTGAGCGGCTCGGCCGGGCCGCAGCAGGCGGGAGACGCTGTTGTCCACGGCGGGCGCAGCAGCACCCGCCTCTGCACGGGGAGCCTTGGGGTCGCGGTGGCGCCTGGCACCCACGGCGCGGCGCTGCCCGCCCTGGCCGGGCTGCCAGCACCGGGGCCAGGCGGAGGAGAGCCCCGCTCCGCGCCCCGTGCCGCTTTCGGAGCAGTTAACTATTTATTGTACACGTGCTGCAGCAGGCTGATCCCCGGTGCCCAGGGCGGGCGCCAGCAGCGGCCCCAGAGCAGAGGGGCAGCGCCGCGGTGGGAGCCGCGCTCGACCCCGCCGCAATAACGTCCCCGCAAATAAAAGGTCCCTGCTGCTGCCGCCGTGCGCGTGTCCTCATTGCAGCCCCTCGCAGGGCTGCTTGTCGTTCACCTCTCCTGCGGTGGCCGCTGCGCAGCTCTGCCCGCCGGGAACGCGGGATCCCACGTGAGGAGGGGCCTCGATGTGCCCGAAACGCCCGAGCGCAGCCGCAGCAGCAGCTTGGGCACCAAGCCCCGGGCTGCTTCAGGAAAGGGGCTGAGGTGCCCTGGCCGGGGCTCCGTGGGCGCCAGCTGGCAGCGGCGCTCACACACACTCTGCCACGGCAGCCGCCTCTCTCGCTGGGTGTTTTTCCAGTTTTCGGGGAGTTTTCCACTCCGAGCATGGAGATTTTGCCCGGATGGTACCGGGCAGGCGCTGACCCCGGGCTCTACCGAAGGCAGCCCCTTGCAGAGGGCTCTGTTGCGATGCCCGCTCCCCTACTACTAGCTGGGGGCACCAGCAGCTTTTGGCAGGGAGGCGCCGGCCGGGGCGCCACATGGGCCGCCCCATTCTAGAAGGGCTGGAGACAAGGGGGGCGTCGCGGGCAGCGCAGCGTCACACGGGCTGCCCGGGCCAGGGCG